AACGGCTCATCATCGCCGTCATGCTCACATCACGGCAGACCCCTCGGTCTCAACGCGATCTTGAGCTAGCGACTGGGCTCACCATCCCTTCCTGGATGGTGACCATCGCCAATATATGACGGTCGGCTCATCATTGCCCAGTCATCATATTTCGGATTGGCTCTTTTCATCGCCATCCGAGCATCACGACCGGCCCCTCGGCCTCGGCGTGACTATCTATCTCAAGACCGGCTTCCTCAGCGCCGAGAGTCTTGAGCTAGCGATCGGGCTCGCCATCCCTTCCTGGATGGTGACCATCTCCCTTATATGACGATTGGCTTCATTCTTGCCTCGTCATCATATTATCGGATCAGCTCATCATCTCCGTCCGCACATCACGATCGGCCCCTCGGCCTCGGCGTGATTATCTATCCCCAAGACCGGTCTCAGTCATTCCTTCATCGGATGGCGACCGCTGCTTGGACTTTTGGATCAGTCTCATAGTGCTAACGACCTCGCATCACGATCGGCCCCTCGGCCACGACGTCACACCCTATCCCAACACCGGCTTCATCAGCGCTGAGTGTGTTAGGCTAGCGATCAGGCTCGCCATCCCCTCCTGGATGGTGACTATCGCCTCTATATGACGATCGGCTCCATCATCGCCTCGTCATCATATTTCGGACTGACTCCTCATCATTGTCATCCGCACATCGCGATCAGCCTCTCGGCCGCGACGTGATTATTTCTCCCAAGACCGGCTCCCAGCGCCGAAGTCTTGTTATAGCGATTGGGCTCGCCATCCCTTCCCGGACGGCGACCGTCGCCCCTATATGACGCACGGCTCATCATCGCATCGTCCCCATATTCGGACCGGCTCACCAGCGCCATCGTCCCCATATTCGGACTGACTCATCAGCGTCGCCGTCCTCATATTCAGACAGGCGTCCACCGCCTCGTCCCCCTATTCAGATATAGCGAACATCTTGCGGTCTCCGGCTGAAAGGCTAAAGGAGCCCAGAGTTCAGCCATATATCGCTCCGTCATCTTTATTTGATGACGCGAAGCTCATTTGTAGGCCCATCGGCCGTGTATCGTTCTGTCATCTTTATTTGATGACGCGAAGCTCATTTGCAGGCCCATCGGCCATATATCGCTCTGTCATCTTTATTTGATGATAAAGAGCTCATTTGTAGGCCCATCGGCCATATATCGCTCTATCATCTTTATTTAATGACGAAGAGCTCATCTACAGGACCATCGGCCATATATCGTTCTGTCATCTTTATTTGATGACGAGGAACTCATTTGTGGGCCTCTGAGCCACATCTTGCTCCGTCATCTTTATTTGATGACGCGAAGCTCAGTTGCAGGCCCATCGGGCATATATCGCCTCGTCATCTTTATTTGATGACGCGAAGCTCATTTACAGGCCCCTCGGCCGCACCATCGCCCCGTCGTCTTTATTTGACGACGTGGAGCTCTTATGCAGGCCCCTCGGCCGCACCATCGCCCCGTCGTCTTTATTTGACGACGTGGAGCTCTTATGCAGGCCCCTCGGCCGCACCATCGCCCCGTCGTCTTTATTTGACGACGTGGAGCTCTTATGCAGGCCCCTCGGCCGCACCATCGCCCCGTCGTCTTTATTTGACGACGTGGAGCTCTTATGCAGGCCCCTCGGCCGCACCATCGCCCCGTCGTCTTTATTTGACGACGTGGAGCTCTTATGCAGGCCCCTCGGCCGCACCATCGCCCCGTCGTCTTTATTTGACGACGTGGAGCTCTTATGCAGGCCCCTCGGCCGCACCATCGCCTCGTCGTCTTTATTTGACGACGTGGAGCTCTTATGCAGGCCCCTCGGCCGCACCATCGCCTCGTCGTCTTTATTTGACAACGTGGAGCTCTCGTACAGGCCTCTCGGCCCATCGGCCTTACGTTCTGGTCATCTTTATTTGATGAACCAGACATCAAATTGTGGACGGTCGCTCGACCCATCCCTTAGTCATCTTTATTTGATGACTAGGACTACTGATCATGATGAGCTACCCACATCTAGAGATCGGCCTCGACCATCCAGCAGACGGGCACCGCTACAGCTCCATCTCCAGGCCGAAGGGCTCGCACCTTTTGTTTCATTTTGGGGGCATCCGGTGTACTCTTTTTCCCTCATTAGGATTTTTTCCCACAGGGTTTTTCCTAATGAGGTTTTTAACGAGGCATCTCCCCATCGTGGATCAAAAGGTGTCAACCCTCGGCCCCCTGTTGAAGACATCATCCGACACACATTACTCTACTCCTCTTCACCTCATTACACTCGCCTCAAGGAGTGGGGGACTGGAAGAGCGGGGGACTTAGCGCCTCCGTTAGCCAAAGAAGCAGAAATTCAAAATTTTTCACGAAGTTTACTCACCAGACGACGACAGATCAGCACACAGTTCTACTCTCTTTCGCCTCGAATACTCTCGACTCAGAGAGTGGGGGACTCCTGATAGAGTATATAGACTCGGACCCCCGGGTCTCACGACTATTGGGCCCGGACAGCGGCCCACACACATCTTACGGATATCATTTGTATTATTGTACTGCTTATATGTCATTTGTATGTAACTATGTACTAGATTAGTCTTTTATGTAGTTGGGCTACCGGGCCCATATTAGCGGCCCGGCCCATTATTTCCCTATTTATACTCCTCTTGGAGCCATTTGTAACCCTACAACATAATTTCACAATTCACTATTCATTCATCTTCCTCTCTATATGCTCAAATCTCTCCATTTTACATAGACTTGGATACCTATAATCCATCAACTACCACTACTACTCAAAAGTCAGGATGTTTTCTATCGACCATCAATTCACCTCAAACCAATACCAACAAAAATTGAGTAGTAGTAGACCTAACCATCCTCCACATTTTAAGGGATGTGGAAAACCAACACCACGGATTTCTCCCGTGATGCTCACCCTTTATGAAAATATTTATTTTTCTTTGTTTTCTCAAAATCAATCGAAGTTTATACTTCAAAAATTTCCTTTTCATCAAACTCCCACAAGGATAACAAATTACGTACTATTACAAATTCTCCCAAAATCGTATACAATAACTCATATCAATAAAACAATATATCAACTAATATCTCAAATATGACCCTTTCATATAATAATATTCACTCAAATTCAGCACACATAAATTCAATTCTCAAATATGCATACAAAAATATTTAAAAGAAATCACGAAGAAAAAGAACTAATTTCGGTTGACGTGAAACTTACCTTAAATCCAAATGCTTCTATTTATCTTCCTCTATCTCGGTCTCTAGATAATCACCTTTTTAATTAAGATGATATAATTAGTCGCTTATTCAAAAGTTTATCAAATTTCCCTTTTTATTTACTTATTCGAATTTATTAATTTAATTAATTGATTATTCTATTTATTCTACTTATAAAACTTCCAAATAATTAATTATATTTTAATATTATTAAAATATACAAATTATGAACATATTCAAATTACTTCAATTATAACTTATTACTAATATGTTCGTACTTAACAATCATCTCATATGATTTAAGTTATTTAAACTAATTCGGTAATTAATACAATAATCCTTTATCAATTTTAATCTAGTCCGATGATAAAAATTATTAAATAATTAACTAATCTCAGTTCATCACAATCCCTTTAATATTAACACCTATATTATTAACCCAATAACTACATAAAAATCTGAATATTATAACAACTAGTTTTGAACCCGTGCGTTGCACGGGAAAACATTTCATCGAGAATGTAAGGATTTGAATGATAATAGAACTATAATTTAAACATTCGAAGGATAGAATTTAACATATAACAAATGACATATAAAATTCATGCCTAAAATAAAAAACTCAGCCAATATATTTTCTATCTTAATCTTAAAACAGATGGATATACAATAATATATACATGTTATATCGAAATTAGCATGTTATAAATATAAATTTATATTTACTGTACATTTAATATATGTTTTTCAGTCTGATATAAAAATAGACACAAATATACGTGCTAACTACCGTTAGCATCCGTTTAAGAGTGTGGTGAATAAGTTCATTATGGTACTCCTACAAATCCTCTCAACCATAAATAATAATAGAAAAGGTAGGAGATAAATAAGGAGAGGAAAACTGTTTAATAAGGAGATTATATGTGATAATGATATACAATATTTGGAGCTTTATTTACTAACATGTGAGGCAAATCCTCTCAACCATGAAGGAATGTTTTTGATTCATCCATATATTAGTGGGAGGATTGTGTGCTGAAAAATATGAAGTACATAATTAAGTAGGGAAAAATTATCTAAATAGTAAAATTCATACCCAAACTAAAAAATATGAAGTACATAATCTTTATAATATTTTAAATTTATTTCAAATTTAAAACCTTCCTTCATTTAGTTTTTATAATATCTTCTGTGTCAAGTATTTAAGTTTGAAAAAATTACCTAAATAATAAAATTCATACATAAAATAAAAAATTCAGTCAAAATTTATTCTACCGTGATCTTAAAATAGATGGATATACAATAATATATTTATATTATATCAAAATTAAAATATTTTAAATTTAAGTATAGGGGGAGGATTGTGTGCTAAAAATCTCAAGTACGTAAAGTCTTAAATAGGGAAAAGTTACCTAAATAATAAAATTCATACCCAAAATAAAAATGTATGCCTATCTACTCAGAATGTTATTGTGGTATTAGTTTGTATAATATCAAGTTCATTGATCAATTGAATATCATGGAGCCCAAACTACAAAGATTAAGAAGTCTACCAATCCCTGCAGCTGATTTTATCAAAGCAGTAAAATCTAGGATCTTAAAAAATAAATCAACATAAAAGTTGGGAGAAACTGAGATTCATATGACTATATCAATAGCATAAAAGCAACCTAGCAGCAAATTAATTAGGTTACACCTTAGTGAATTTAAACATAAGTTCTGATATTTTTGCAGAATAAAAAGCGCTCTAAAGAAATAAACAGATTATATTTAACAAATTAGAATTGGAGAAATAATGAAAAAAGTAGCACACAATTTTTTACTCTCGTATATTAGAAGTAATTGAAAGGCAAAAAAAATCAAAGCTTGTCTTCAACTGTGAGGAATTCCCTTATTCAAGGCCAACAAACGGCACAATCACAACATTAAAAAATTGTCTTTAGGAGGAAATGCGAATGCAGAAATACGAATAATCAAACAAAAAATAAAATCCTGTTTTCTAAATGGCGAACTTCAAAGTTTCTCTTTTTTGACCTCCTTCAACTTCTTATTCTTATTTGTAGACCCCAGTGTTTTATCATCTGAGATTTCTTTGCTACCATCTATATCCTCAGTTTTTCTCTTTGAGGATGAAATTGGAGTCTGCCCTTGGTCATGCTCAGGTGATGTTGGTGTCTGAATGAAAACATAATAAATATTGTATAATAATTTATATAGATTTTGGGTTTATATTTGCGTAGGCATAATCAATTGTTGTGAGTATTCAAACTTACCAAGTTGGATTCTACCGTAGTTCGAGGTTCAAGAATTAAGTCAAGATCTGAATCAGAATTATATTCAGCCTGCATTCACCCCGTTGTAAGTTCAATACAATTGTATAGTTCATACTCCCTCCGTAATTAAAAGATCCTTATGTTAGGTTATGGCACAAGATTTAACGGAGAATAGTATGGGTGATGAATAGTATAGAAAAAGTAGGATATATGGTGAAAAAGTAGGAAAGAGAGGATAAAAAGTGGAAAAAGTAAGGGTGGTTAAGTATTTTTAAAGGAAAAACTTACTAAAAAGGGAAGGTGTATGGAACTTTTAAATACGTCCCAAAATGGAAAGTGTATGGAACTTTAAAATACCGAGGGAGTATTTGTTTGAACTTATGAATCTTATTTTATATCTTCTATTAAAAAAATACTTTATGATATTTAAGACTAACGAATTACCTCTGGCTCTGGTTCATCTTTCCAAGATGACTTAATCTGCTCAATCTTTTCCTTATTGTCTGTTGTCATGCTTATGCAAAACGCAGCATCGGATCCATCTAAACTCGCGATGTCTCTCTCAATTTTGAATAAGTACTCCCGCCCAACCAAGTCGTAGAACAATGGAGGAGCACTATGAGGTCTTAACTTGACCTAAACGAAGAGAAACAAATACTTTAAAGCATTTATAGATACATTCATGCAGCCAGCACATGGAGTTTTGACATAGGAAATCAAAGCAACAAAACTAATACTTGTTATATACATACATCATCCAGATGTTCACGAAAATCGGACGCAGGTTTTCCCAAAAACTGCTTGCATGCTTGATCCCAGAATAGTAGCTCAGCGTTGTGACGACCATGCACAACGTTCAGCTTCAATTTGTAGAGTCAGTTTTCTTCAGAAGACCGCACTCCGCACTTCGTGCACTCAAATTCATTATCACATTTTATGGCTCTTGCACGACATGACCTAAAGTGAACGGGGAAATCAACTTTAGTTTCAAAAAATATATTATTATGAAATCCTAATTATAAAATAAACGGAAGTTGTAATACAAAGCCTTCTGTTTCAATTGTATAAAAAGGATCTAAATAGCTTAGTTGTTTAAAAAAAGGCAACAGCCTGTCATGGTGTACAACTAATTAATAAGTATGAATTTACTTATTTGAATTTCGGGGGGGGGGGGGGGGGGGGGGGGGAGTGCAGCTGTACAACATGCCAAACAAAATCTTATTTCTTTATTTAGATATCTAAATATCTAAATAAATGTAATGATTAATTAAGAATCTACTTGTGACTAAATATGACTGTGTTGGAGGCTATCACTAAATATGACCTTTTGAAGCATCCCATATAAGCCCAACTGGTAGCATTTAGAATAGTGTTTATCTTCCCATAAAACCACAACCCACGAACCTGTTCCAAGTGTACATTGTTCACAAATGAAAATGATTTACATACGTATAAGAATGCGAGAATTTGAAATTCAGAAATAAATTGAATGATTATATACCTCCTTAGTAGTTTGTAGTTCAGACAACATCTTGACAATTCCAACTTCTTTATCATCACTTAATGCAGGTCGTGATGATGTTGAGCTCAAGGATTGTGATGACCCCATATCCAACATCCTTATTAATTTCAATAAATGTCAATAGATTGAAATAATTGCTAAAAGTGTTTTTTTTAAATCTGCTAAATATTGCACACTTATCATGGACATTATCAATATTCACACTTATCATGGTATCTACTCTACAATATTTTGAAACTAATCACCCTATATGCAAGGCTGGATCAACATATGCACTTACAACAAAGAAGAGTCTTTTACTTTAGTAATCATGTGTTATTTGTATGATTTGAAGTGGTTGCATCATTTATTCACCATTGATGAGTTGATGACAATACTAAGTTTAAAACTCCATCACCAAATTACCAAGGTTGAAAACAAAGGTAAAGCATGGTTTTAGATTGCCATGTGAGGGTTAAGAAAGATTCACATTAAAAAAGCTTTTTGAAGGTTGCCATGAAGATCGTTATCAATATTACCTGGTTCGAAACTCCTCAATATCAGGGACATTGACGTCAAGGAGAACCTTTGAGGCATTATATGATGTTGAGACCCCCATCTGCTCACCTGAATTCAGTTTTAGTAAAGAAATATAAGTAAAGTATTAATTAAAGTAATAATTCTTTGCGATAAATTCGTAAATGCAAGTGTATGTATATTTGTCCTACCATAGCGTTTGTTGGTGCGTGCCAACTGGATGATCACGATTACATATTCCGACGTTGTCCTTTTTACATGTTCCAGGAATTGTTCGGAATACTCACTGTATAGTGTACAATGCAACCTCTTATCCCTATGCATGGTAAAATTAGAATATGTAAATTATTTTAATGTTAGTGTATGAGAACATTATATAGTATAACAAAATTTGAAATGATTGTATCACTTAACTCTAAATCATGAAGGTAAAAGTTACACCACTTTTTTTGCGCTCCAGGTTCCGCCTTGAACACCTTATCACCAACCTTGAATGCACCAATTACATCTAGAATTTGTCTCGAGATTACGATTATTATCACACATAATATAGTTACACAAATTACTAAATACATAGTACAAAATAACAGAGTGTTATTTTTGAGATTACCAAACAATTGAAGACAGACATCATCTCCTTCAGCAAAATTTTTTGAGAAGCTTTTACACTTAAAATATGATAAGGATGACATGATACTCTTTTCTTGACGCTTCACCTTGGTTTCCTCGGTGAAACATAGTCTGTAACGGTGGGAGCATGGCCGATATTGTTCAATATTGGACCTTACAGTAAAGTGCATCATTGCATATGTCTCACCCTCTTCTATTTGGGCGTCAAAGATGCGCACCATTTGTTGTGATACAGTAGCTTGAATCCTATCATCCTATTTGAGAAAAAATTGGAGTCAATTAGAAGTTATCGACTATTGTAATGAAATGAATTTTATTTAAGCAAGTGGAAATTATAATTGGACTTACTGGGATGTAAATTTTAATTAAGGCACTTTCTAAAATATCTTAGGTATGAATTTTAAAACAAAGTATTTTTTTTTATAATTTCACAATGATCACAACTTAAATTAAATATGTGTTAGACAAAGTTTTTCTCTAAGGTAGTTTTGTGTACATTTATATTATATTAAGGCATAATCTATTTAGACAGATTTTATTTAAGACATTTTTTTTAATTTTTAAGTAATCTCGGTAGTAATTATCAATTCGTAGAATTTATTTAAATCATTTATATATTATCTTAGTTTCCATCATTTGCAATGGAGCCAAAGATTCATTATTTTTTGGCTTGAGATTATGATGGAATAAAGCAAAATGGCTCACTAAACTGTCTGCGCTTCTTTGTTATGAAGCAGCAGTCAGTCCATGCAATTTTGGACGAGATTTTCACTATGGGTCATCCGGAAACAGTCTCTCTGTGCTTAAGTACAGGGGCAAGGCTGCGTACATCCGACCCCCCCTTACCCCACCGTAGGTGGGAGCCTTTGCGGCACTGGGGTAAATGAAAATGATGATTTATATATTATCTTAGAAGTTTTTCGGGCTGTTTTTAGATCGTCAAACTAAATGTCAAGCAATAAGATAACATATTAATCTCATTTATATGGCTTTCTGAACAAAATGCAACACACTTGCCCATGAGTTTGATGATTTTGAAAAGAATTATAATTACTATAGTGATTATAGTGAAAAAGGAAGCATGTGATTAGCAACAAATGAAGTATATTTTCATATGAGGGTAATTTGTAATCCTATTGTATATGAAGAGGTCTCTCATTTTCAGAATTCTCTAGAAGTTGCTTGTTTTATTTTTAAGAATCAAATGACCAAAACATAATCAATTGGTTGAATCAGAATTGAAAAAATGTACTTATAATCAAAACATAACATACAATCTATGATAAAGTCTTACCTATAATCAGGACTTATAATGAGGAGGGTTAATAGTATGTATAGGATGATGTCTGGCAACGCCATATGCAAAACTTGAATCATGGCTTGAATACTTTTGACCTACACATGATTTATAAATGTTTCTTTAGCACTTTTAAAAATCAAATGGGCTAAATGAGTACTTATCCTTACCATCATACACCAGGTTATACAGATTTAGCATGCTAAAACCACCCAAAAAAATACAGAACTAAGCATTAATCTTGATTCAAAATTCAGCAACTGCAAAGGATACACATACCTTGAGGTATTGCAAAATTCATGGAGCTTTCCCCTATTGGAGAAGATGATAAGAGCAACTTCAGCATCACAAAGGATAGACAGCTCATAGGCCTTCTTCAGCAATCCATTCCTTCTCTTTGCAAAAGATACAGGGGAAGGCGTAAAAGCGGTAGATTTTGTTTACTGAAATCGGACGGTTGACAGGAGTGAGCGGGAAGGCGTAAAAGCGGTAGTTTTTTTGATGTTGTGATCACTCTTGAATTATTCAAGTCCATTACATGAAGAAGATTTTTTAGATATATTAAAAAAGTAACACCCATGTTCCATCTCCCTTGCATTTTCTAAAGCAAAACTAAGCATGATAGTAGCTTCCATATGCATTTTCTTTGCAAAATTAAACACGAGATCCAAACATAGCCTAAAATTTCAAATCTACAGTACCAAACAGTTATTTTGATACTTTGAAACAGAATTTCAAAATTATATGATAAAAATGTTCTAGGTAAAAAATGTTGTATGTAAAAATGTTGTAGATAAGAAGCTGGAATTTGTATACTATGATGATAATTTGAAGCACAATAGATAGTAAAAAAAGCAATAGTAAGAATGGTGATAAAACTTTAATATGATGTAAAGGAGAAAACAGAGAAAAGGAGACGACATCAAAAAATATTAAAAAAAGTGATAAGAATGTTGAAAACTTGAAAAAAAAGTGATAAGAATGTTGATAAAACTTTAATATGATGTAAGGCAGAAAACAAAAAAAAAAACGGTGAACCACTCAAAATGAGTCATGAATCTAAATTCAATACTAAAAAACACGTGTGGGAATTTCTATAAGAAAGAAGTATAAAAATGCAATTTTGTTTTACATTTTTTACTCAGTGTAGGGCGTTTAAGGATACGGGGCGGGAGACGGTAATTCCTACCACCAGAATTGGATATCTGAATGTCGAGTTTTTGGACAACTTTCTTCATTACAGAAATGAACAACTTATCAAATTCACATATATATACATGCAGTCAGGAAAAAAAGTCAAAACTTATATCCCAGATTGAGACAAAGAATGGACTATTGAGGAATCCACATCTGGTCATGCATCATATGAACTTAAGACAATATATGCCAGATTAAAACTTATGTGATTTGATCATCTTTTTTCAGTTCACTTGCAGGCTATTCATAAGTGTTTAGTTTGTGACTAAAACTTCATATGATGTAAAGGAGAAAACAGAGAAAAGGAGACGATATCAAAAAATATTAAAAAAGTGATAAGAATGTTGAAAACTTGACAAAAAAAGTGATAAGAATGTTGATAAAACTTTAATATGATGTAAGGAAGAAAACAAAAAAAACGGTGAACCACTCAAAATGAGTCATGAAGCTAAATTCAATACTAAAAAACACGTGTGGGAATTTCTATAAAAAAGAAGTATAAAAATGCAATTTTGTTTTACATTTTTTACTAAGTGTAGGGCGTTTAAGGATACGGGGCGGGAGACGGTAATTCCTACCACCAGAATTGGATATCTGAATGTCGAGTTTTTGGACAACTTTCTTCATTACAGAAAGGAACAACTTATCAAATTCACATATATATACCTGCAGTCAGGAAAAAAAAGTCAAAACTTATATCCCAGATTGAGACAAAGAATGGACTATTGAGGAATCCACATCTGGTCATTCATCATATGAACTTAAGACAATATATGCCAGATTAAAACTTATGTGATTTGATCATCTTTTTTCAGTTCACTTGCAGGCTATTCATAAGTGTTTACTTTGTGACTAAAACTTCATAGTTCTTTGATCATCTTTTCCAAATTGCTTTGAGTTTAGTTCTTTTAAAACACACTTACTTTGAGTATAGTATTCAGGTAGTAAGTACTGCATTTGAGTAAGTTTACATATACGTTTTGGTTATTGATGAAGAAATTCATTAAAGTCTGCATCAAATAAACTTCAGTTCTTTAAAGCACTATAGTATTATCATAAGTAAACTTATTTCCTCTTGGAGTCTTGGTTTATCATAGTGAAAAAGGAAGCATGTGATTAGCAACAAATGAAGTATATTTTCATATGAGGGTAATTTGTAATCCTATTGTATATGAAGAGGTCTCTCATTTTCAGAATTCTCTAGAAGTTGCTTGTTTTATTTTTAAGAATCAAATGACCAAAACATAATCAATTGGTTGAATCAGAATTGAAAAAATGTACTTATAATCAAAACATAACATACAATCTATGATAAAGTCTTACCTATAATCAGGACTTATAATGAGGAGGGTTGATAGTATGGATAGGATGATGTCTGGCAACGCCATATGCAAAACTTGAATCATGGCTTGAATACTTTTGACCTACACATGATTTATAAATGTTTCTTTAGCACTTTTAAAAATCAAATGGGCTAAATGAGTACTTATCCTTACCATCATACACCAGGTTATACAGATTTAGCATGCTAAAACCACCCAAAAAAATACAGAACTAAGCATTAATCTTGATTCAAAATTCAGCAACTGCAAAGGATACACATACCTTGAGGTATTGCAAAATTCATGGAGCTTTCCCCTATTGGAGAAGATGATAAGAGCAACTTCAGCATCACAAAGGATAGACAGCTCATAGGCCTTCTTCAGCAATCCATTCCTTCTCTTTGCAAAAGATACATGGGAAGGCGTAAAAGCGGTAGATTTTGTTTACTGAAATCGGACGGTTGACAGGAGTGAGCGGGAAGGCGTAAAAGCGGTAGTTTTTTTGATGTTGTGATCACTCTTGAATTATTCAAGTCCATTATATGAAGAAGATTTTTTAGATATATTAAAAAAGTAACACCCATGTTCCATCTCCCTTGCATTTTCTAAAGCAAAACTAAGCATGATAGTAGCTTCCATATGCATTTTCTTTGCAAAATTAAACACGAGATCCAAACATAGCCTAAAATTTTAAATCTACAGTACCAAACAGTTATTTTGTTTAGATTCAATGAGAGCATGGAGTTTGAGTTGCAGAAATCACCTGGTGACGATTTCGGTCAATAATAGACTGCTCCATCTAAATGTCTCACCGCCTTCAAATCGTAAGGTCAGAAGCCCTACTGGATCAAGCTGAATTGAACGGCCCCAAAACTTGCCTTTGAGATTAGTATCTGCCCAGCATTTCCATCCTCTTCCCTCACAATGACAAGCAACAACCATAGGATGATGACTCACCTACACAAATATACAAGTTGTTAAACAAAAAGGAATTATGTCATTTGGTAGAACTTGTATTTCTACTTCCATTTTCGTTTTCCTAAAACAAAACACGGAAACATGTTTCATGTAGTGTTTTTGTTTTCAGTTTCTAATAAAAAAAAAACATTTTGAAATATATTGGCAGCAGAAATACTTCTTATATTCAACAGATAAGCAAAACTCTTGAAACTAAAACTGAAAGAAAAACCGAAACTAAAACATCATGGAATGTTACCAAACAATACCTTTTCAGAAAAGAACTTCAGACCTTTATCTGGATACTCGGCGTCATAGGTTTCCCCGAGTAGAGGATTGAAGGGTTTGCATTGTCGCCCTTCAGTCGATGCATACCCAGAAACAGCAAAAGCAGCAACATTTAGAATTCTCATCAAATCGTTGCCCTAAAGGGAGAACAAACAGCACGCCATAAGTTAGTTTGGTTATGTAGCTACTACTTGTTATTAATAGAGTAATTGGGAAAAAATGTGCCAGACTGCCAGTGCTTAGAAACTGACCTGCCGTTTTTCAAAAACTGAAATTGATCTGGATGGTGAAGGAGGATTAAATCGAAGAAGATGTTTCAGATAAATTGAAAAGAAAGTCTAAGTTTCCTATAACATACAGTTCTATTGATGCAGTGAATCCAAATAAAGTGTTGTAGTCTCTCCGAGATCAAACCTTTGCCGCAAGAGAAGTGGAACCAAGAGCAAAGGAGATGACCACGTCAGGTGGTTCCATGGCAAGGAAGGCGGAAATGGTATGCAGGGACGGCGGATTTGGTATGCAGGGAAAGCACGACGGAGAACTGGAGAAGGGAGAAGCCTGGGAAAGTGGGAGACGTAGAAGGAACCAAGAGCGTCCGGTGAGAATGAAGGGGATTCGGCTAGGTTTTTTTGATGTTGTGATTTGGGAAGAAAATTTCAGATCTGAGAAATGAAGGGACGGATACAGGGGAAGGCGTAAAAGCGGTAGATTTTGTTTACTGAAATCGGACGGTTGACAGGAGTGAGCGGGAATTTTTTTGGAGGTGTTGTAGTGCTATTAAGGAGAGGATTATTTAGCTAATCATCATCAACTTATCTGATTTTATTAATTACCCAAGCACTTGATATGATTGAGTCCGTAATTACTTCAATTAATCCAATAATTAGTGAAAATAATATCCATCCAATTTTATTTAATCTAAGTACGGTACTAAGTCCAAATGAATCATTATTATTTTAATATGATAATCGTTTATTAATTAAATCCTCAATTTATTTCATCATCTAACAATTAACAAATTCAACCAAGTGATTCCTATTAACCAACCAAGCCAATTTTATCATTAATATTCCTCATCTCTAATAAATCCACTTTTCAGATTTTTAATACCGTTATCAATATTGCTATTACTATTATTACTATAATTATTATTGTTATTGTTATTATTATTATTATTATTATTATTATTATTATTATTATTATAAACTTTCGGTCAGCCCAGTAGTTTAAAAGCCCAAAAAAATAACTATAGGCCCAAAGGCTAAACAAACAGCCGAAAGAAAAAAAAAACAAAGAGGAGACGTTCGTCTTCCTCTTGGTTCGCCGGAACCGAAGGGTATGCAGGGGGAGGCACTTACCTCGACGGGTGCGGCTGAAGACGGTGGTAGCAGAGTCTTTTGGGGGCGGGGAAGGTCGGTGATAGGTTGGCGGCAGCGACAGCTCTCTTTTTTCCTCCGTTCTTCGACGTTGAAACTCAAACCGGCGAAACTCCGGTGAGTGATAACTCCCTCGTTTGACGATCGTTTTCAAGGATTCTTTCGCCGTTGGATTCCTCTCATAATGGGGAAGGTTTTAGAATTGGTTTCAAGGCTCAGTTCTGGCTCAAAAGAAGGGTCGAAATCTGGTATATAGTAGAGTGAATATATATGTATACACGACTGATTTTTTTTTTTGGGTGTGCAGCTCTCTCTGCCGCCAAAGCCCTCTATTTATACTACTTGAATGAAGCTTCTAGGTTGTATTTCAATTGCTGGAGATTTGCTATGAGTTGATCCGATCCCAATAATTAGCATACGTTAGAGTAAAACTGCGGCATGCATTTCGGGTTTCCTTAGATGCGTATGTTAGTAGTGTTAGCATTATACACAACCTCCGTATTATTTTTAGCAAATAATTAGTGTACACAGCTCAAAGATATGGGACAATGGGTTACCTATTGAAGTTAGAATGGTCAACTTAATTACATTTAGTTTTTTTTTTCTTTCAAAATGTACTGCGTACCATTTTATTATAAAGGCATAGTTGTATAAAATGTCAATAAAATGTCACTTTATAAGTCAAACTTTCAACTTATAAAAATGTCACTTTTATTATTTCATTTTATCCGACTAAAAATGTTATAAATGTTAAATTTTTGTCTGGTTCACTTATTTAATAAAATGTTGTTTATATTATTAAAATATTTTTATCTGACTAAAACGTCGTAAATTTTGAAATTTTATCTGATTAGAATGCCACGACTGTTGAATTTATGTTTGACTCACTCAATAATTAAAATGTCATTTCCGTAACATTTTATCTGACTAAAAAAAATTATTTTATTTTTATTTAATTTTTTTTTGAAGTGTCACAGTTTTATCATCACAAAACCCATATCAATACAAATAACCTCTAAAAGGTTATTTTTTTGTGAATCGGTCACTTTGGCTTCTAAGTCCGTTCTTAGACTTAGAAGCATTTTCCAACCCCTCATTTTATACTTCTAAACATGTACAACAGCCCTAGGGTTTCTTCATATGGTATATGAGTCACAAGATACTTGAAGGAAGGAGGAAAAGTTGTTATATGATCTTTACCTTAATCTTTAAAGCTTTTCCTCTCACTTTTCCCTTCTCAACACTTCTTGTTTGGATCCTCTTGCTTGAGCTCAAATTTGCAGCTATGGAGGATGGGTAGACAGCTCATTTACTCTCTTGAATGGTCTTGGTCGAGCTAGGTGATTGGAGGGAAGATGGGATGAATTACCTTTGTCTCATTGGACAAGTGAGTGGGGGAGAGGGGTCCTCTATGTCCTTTGGATGTCAATCCCTTCACTCGATCACTTCTCCATGCCAAGCCATCTTCCTTGGTCAATTTGAGCACACAGAAACATGGGGTGGCCCCCACTCATGTGGGAGGTCATCCCTATATGTCCCGAACTGTACAATCGGCCCTGAAAGTTGTATTTCTCAGATTGTGTTAATTATGTCTTATTTTATCGGGCCAAATAAACTATATCACACATTCGTTTCGGACTGTTATCTCTTAAATTACTAGTACCGGTAATTGGGTCTTGTTTGACCAACCGGTCAACCTTGTGCCTTTTCTATGGCCTAACTAGAATATCCACCACCATATACATAATAGTTAGATCAATATGAATATAATATGTGATCCCGGAAATATCGTGTGGTCCCCGTTCTCGATGTGGGTCCCATGTGCAATTTACTATACGCGTTAAAGTAATAACAAAAATTTACAACCTCGTAAATTCATTAACCATTTCTCTAGGTTCAATACATAATTTACACAAAAGTAAATATACTTGAGGATGGTGTTACAAATGAATACCAAATGTATATCCTTGTGAGTGTCTCTATACTTCTCCATAAGTTACCAAAGAAGGTGAATGACCTCAGTTGTTGAGAGACCAGACATAAAACCGAAATGATTCTCTGAATCTTCACAGTTCTTCGAAGTCTTTGCTCAATCACTCGCTCCCAAGGTTTCATGGTGTGACTCATAAGCTTAATCCTTCGAGAGTTGGCACATTCTTGTACATTACCTTTATTCTTAAATAAAGGGATATGAGTACTATTCCTCAAACTCGTTGGCATCTTGTTGTTTCTCCAAATCATGTTGAAGAAACTTGTTAACCACTCGATGTCTCTCTCTCTCAAACTTCTCCAAGCCTCGATCGGTATGCCATTTGGACCCACTGCTTTTTTCCGCCCCATCTTCCTCAGAGCTTTGTTGACCCAGGAGTTCCCCATTTATTTGGAAGGAATATCAAGCAGGGAGACCCTTTATTCCCTTATTTATTTATTCTCATTGCAGAAGGTCTCAACGAGCTGATTCAGGCGAAGGAGGCTAGTGCCAATGTGTTGATAAGAATGCTCCGATAATATCTCATTTGCTTTTGTTGATGATAATTTCTTATTCTTCAGGGCCCGTGAACAGGAGTTTATGTTATGAAGTATTTTAACTAGATATGCTCAAATTTCGGGGCAACTAGTTAATTTTGAAAAATCAAGTGGTCGTTTCAGTGCAACTATGGAGTGAGATAATAGGGATTATTTGATGGAGGTCCTGGGGGTTAGAGAGGATACATTAAAATAAACGTGGATGGAGCCTTGGGCCAAAGTTGCTAGAGATGATGAGGGTCATTTAATTGCGGAAAAGAGGAAGAGTTTTGTTGGATGCATGCAAGCAACGACTACCGAGTACTTGGCTATTGGAGAGACTATAGAGTGGGCTATGCAGCAAGGGTGGAGCCACGTGATTGTTGAGTCAGATGTTTTGCTTTTAGTTTAGGGAGTGAAGGGGTTAGGAGGATGCTCTTATGAAGCATTGTTAGCTGATGATATTAGACACATGATAGCATTAGGTGCTGATATTTTTGTGTGACGATCAGCGAATATAGTTGTTGATGCCTTGGCTAATCAAGTTTTTTCAGAGCCTGATTGTCTTTGGTTTGATATACCACCTACCTGTATTTGAGACCTTCTTATGAAGGACACTTATGATTAATAATATTTGATGGTTTGTTTTCAAAAAAAAAGCCTAATATGAAAAGCCTTTCAATTGTACTAAATTCTTTGATCATTTAAAAGTTATTCAAAAAATAAAAAATATTAATTGAAAGAAAATGAAAATAATAATGATAGTGTAATAGCAATGACAATAAATGCTATGTGTTATTATGAATATGGTTGCTATTTTATAATATTACTTTAGAAATTGATAAAAATATTCATATTTAAAATATCGTTATTAAAATTAAATGAAATATGTATGCAAGTTTTAAAGCTCGATAAAATATTTTCAACGAGATACAACACGTTTGTATAGAATAGAGCCATATATGATTAAGTCAAATACTAAGTATGTCCGCAATCAACTCCCCAGTGTTTTTAAATATTAGGGGTATACATATGTATCCTTTTATTACATTGTAAATAAAGTCTAATACAAATTCTATAACTTAAAAAGATCTTTCCTAGAAGTTATAAGACGCGGGAATTCAAAGCCAATAACATACAACAAGATGTTATCAACTGAAATATTTAATTTATTTTATGTATACATAGCGTATTTAGTGTAGATAGAGTATATTAGTATATGGAGAATTACAGCATTTATCAGTATATTTCCACTTACAATGATTCGGTAAAGTTGTTCAATTCTACAGATTGCGATTGAGAATAACAACACCGTAAAGATATGGTGTGATTTCAGTGCGCCCTAGCTAGGGTAAGTCGGCGATTTTGGGGTCGGCAAGTTTTCTTCGCTCGACGATTGTTGCAGGGAATAAGGAAAGCCGTTGTTTTCGTAGTAAGTTCCAGTCACTCGCGAGTTCCTTTGATTGACGGGCAATCGCGATTGTTCTTCGCTCGCAACTTTCCTTCGCGAGTTTTCTTTCACGAGGCGCAGGGGCTAAGGATCTCCTTTCAAATCCGAACGAGTAAGGTTTCAAGGTTGCAGGGCTGTAAATTGCAGGGGTGCGGCTGACTTGGTCTGGGCGGCCTGATACGTTTGTATTGTGGAGGAAGGCAATCCAATATGGTCGACGCTAATGAGATGGAGGAGATAAATAGGCTAGCAAATAGGTTGGAGATGGAGGAGGAAGATGAAGTCCTTCTTGTGGCGGCTAAAGCTTCTGAGATCGTGGAGGCAAGGCTGACCTTGGTTGGAACAATCACTTCAGAAAAGTCGGTACGATTTTCTTTTTTCCGTGACACTATGGCTAATGTGTGGAAGCCTACTAGAGGTGTTACTATTACTGAGATAGGTGCACGAAGATTAATGTTTCAATTTTACAATGAAAATGATATGATACATGTGTTGGAGGAAGGGCCGTGGACCTTCGACCAGAACCTAATTGTGTTGCTAGGTTGAAGCTAGGGGATCTGCCTTTGCAGATTTCGTTGAACAGGGCTGACTTCTGGGTACGGGTTCATGACGTACCAATGAGTTTTTTTTCAATTGAAAATTCTATAAATATTGGGAATTTTATAGGGTGTTTTATCAGGGTGGATGAACAGAATTTCTCCATGGAATGGAATCCCTACATGAGAATAAGGGTTAGCATTAATTTGAACATGCCTCTTAAGAGGAAAATGTTTCTCCAAACTGACAAAGGGGAAAGCTTTTGTGTTAAATTTAGGCATGAAAAATTGCCTAGTTTTTGTTTTGCTTGCGGAGTTATAGGTCATGCTGAAAGATTCTGCCCGCATTATCCAAATGGCATAGACAAAAGTGGAGGCTTTCGCTTTGGACCTGAACTAAGAGCTTCAAAAGGAATCATGTATGGGGGAGGTAACAAATGGCTAGTCCCAGTTGACAAAGGGAAAGGAAGAGATGAAGAAGAGGTATTCGGGATGGTCAGTCCGGATGCAGATAGAAGACCGCAACAGGAGAAGGACTTTGCTCAGACAGGAGATAAGGTGGAACAGAAACACAGATGTGTGGATCATGAGGATCAAGAGGCAGCACACAAGGGAATGGACGTGGAGAAGAGCACAACAAAAAACGGAGAGGGGGCGGGCTACAATGCCCGCCTGTCAGGCAAATAGAAGATGAGCTAGGGCAGACACAAGGGATGGAGGTTTCTAACATTCATCACCTGGATGTTTATTTTTGTTGCACTTGTTTTCTTTTTCAGAACTCAGTTGTCTATTGGTTTTTTATCTTTACTTACAATAAGGGTGTGGGTATGGTAGGTTGTTTCTTTCTGAGTAGGTTCTCTCTTGATGGAGGCAATCAGGCTGTCACAGCCGCTAATAGCTTCTTTGCTCTCACCGTTTCAACGATTAGTCTCGCTCTTATTGGGGTGAACTATTATATGTCTGAACATGACGTGAGGGGGCCGATGAGCTTTTGGTATTGCGGGTCTAGTGGGAGTAGTGGGGTTTGGATCTTGATTGGTGTAATGACTCTGTTGAATTTAATATAAGCTATTTCCTTTCAAAAAAAAAGTATATGAAGAATTGATTTTTAATTTCGACGCATAAGGTGCCATGCCCGTGCGTGCATGTATAGTTTAAAAAAAAAATATTATATGAAAATGATAGTAAACCTAGTTTTAAAAACTCTTTTCAAAAGTTATTAAAATATACAGAGTAACAAGTTAAGTGTTTACGCAGATCTTTAAGAGATTATGGCTTTGTAAATTTGTAATGAAATGCGACTATGATGGACGAGTTTTTTTTAAATAGATGAGTTTTTTAATGGAACTATGATGCACGAGTTAGATGTAGTTTTATGAAGATCCATATGACTCCCTTATGGAATCATATGGGTAGTGTGGCAACATGCTAATCACTCATACCTTTAATGGGACACCCCATTAAAAGTATGATTGGTTAGGATGATGTCATACTGCCCCATATGACTCCGGATATAACGGAATGATATGGACTAATCACTCATACTTTTAATGGGACACCGCAATAAAAGTATGATTGGTTAGGATGATGTCACACTACTCCATATGACTCCGGATATAACAGAGTGATATGGGGCTCTTTAATTTTTTGGACGAGTTAGACTTATAAATATATAAATAATTTATAAATATGATTGTTCTTGTACAGAAACCTAATTCAAATTCAAAATTTTTAAAATTCGGTGATGGCTGAACTCATGATCTCATGAACGTAGACATCTGATTTGCTTGCGTACGTGAGATTACAATATCAAGAACTACATTTATATTTCTTATATTCTAAAAAAACATATATTAAAGTGTTTGAATGTACGTCTTAAAACACTGCTCCTTCTTCTTCAAAAAGTAGGAATATTTGAAGTGTTTTAGTGAAAGTGCATGAATGTTTTTGAGTACTCCAAATTGCTCCTACGAGTAGTCTTTTACAAGTTGAGAGATACGAGTTTGTGAAAACATAATTTTGATTCCACTCCTGCTTATTAAAAGACAGCAGAAACATAATTAATACTACCCCATCCTAAAAAGATTGATACATTTTGACTTTACTTGGTCAATGGTGGTAAAATTTAGACAATGATTTCAGGTATTATATTTGTTTGTAATTTATAAATTTTATACTTTTATGTAATAATTTTTAAATAAAGAAAATGTTCATATAATCATACAATTTTCATATTTTAAATAATTTTGTATTAAAAGATATTATTGGTTAAACTTAATCATCATTGACTAAGAAAAGTCAAAATATATCAAAATGATATATTATGAAACGTTATTTGGAATATGTTTTCAAAATGATTTTGTTTAAAATATGTTGAAATATTAAAATATAGCCATATGTAATTTACCGTATGGATAGGGTGATGAAACAGTGGACATTGATACGAATTGAAGTCATAGCGACGTAATCTCTTACGTCATGCTCATACCAGTCACCAAAGGGTGGGATCCTACTAGCTATGGCGGGGTACCTCTTGAAATGAATACTAAAAAAATTGAAATATGTTAAGGGGCCGTGTATAGAGTTCATTGGGTAAGACTTCATTGAATTCCATTTCATTTGGTCTAAAAGGTGGAATCTCACACCCCAGGAGCCCTCACTCTGACCCGACATGATGTGGGGAGGTTAATCAGGGTGACTCAGTCAGCAAAGTGATTGTAGGCTTTATACATGTGCGCACCAGAGGTTCAACCTTATTTCAGGTTTCGTAACCTCCACACGGCTGCTGCGGATTTCGAACCTTGGTTACTTGGTCCAATTTTTCCACCACTCGACCAACTGAGCTATCCGTGCGGGTTTGAATTCCATTTCATAGTTTTACATATGATCATGCACATTTTACATTTATAGTTAGAAAAGTTCAAGAACAAAATATGTGAAAAACTAAGACGATCGAAACGTTAGTAAAACTGGAGTTATTAATGTCTGTGGAGTGCATGTGGGCAGTGGCGGAACCAGAAATCGATGGTTAAGGGGATCGAGATTTGAGAATTTTACATTATCGGAACCAAAGTTTAAAATATCAACATATTTACTCTAGATTCAAAGTATTTATACATAATATATACTCCCGCCGTTCCCTTTTAATTGCAACAATCAACATTTTCCGTTTGCCAACACACCCTATTAGTAAAAAATTTTAAAAATTTCATATTTTGAAAATTTAGAATGAGAATAATTTAACATTATCTTTAAAAAATGTAATTTATAATACATTAATTAATAAAATATAGTCAAAGTAAAATATGTAAATAGTACAAGAAGTCCAATGTTACAATTAATAAAGAACTAAGATAATAGGATTTAAGATTTTTTTTTTCTTGCAGGGTCCGGGGTCCCCTCCAGCCCTCCCTATCTCCACGCTTTTCTGTGAGCATGTTTTTTTTTTATTTGACACATATATTGGATTGAATGTAGATATAAAGAAATAAAAAACTACTCTGTAGAGTATCACAATTAAGAGATGTAGGTAGAAATCTATAGAACAAACTCAACAAAGAATTCTTGTAAAAAAAAACTCAACAAAGAAGTAGTCCGTATGTCACAATCAATACTAATCCTTACTGTTTTGTGATTTAATAAGTACGAGTAATAAATTTAAGAAGAAAAGTTTTTAATTAATAAATATATAATTAAAAGGTCAATAAATACGATGTGTTACGCGCCCTTTGAGAATGTGAAGACCACGTGGTCATGCATGCGCCTGCATAGTTCCCCACTGCTTATTTATTACAGTACTATTATAATACTAATAATTACTACGTATTGTATTATTATATTACTACCTTCTTCTCGAAAAGTTTTTTTTTTAATTTTTCTTGGTCAATGATGATAAATTTTAGTTAATGATTTTAATTATTATATTTGTATACAATTTATAAATTTTATACTCTTATGAAAACATATTGAATAAGAAACATTTTGATATAATTTTAATATTCAAAATAATTTCGTGACGAACCTTTTTGGGACGGATGAAATATTATATTATAGGTAATACATTGTATATTAGTCCGTATATGCATACTAATCAAATGGGAAGGTAGCTATCATGGAATTAATGGCCTGTGTGTTGATGTTTTAGCATTTCCTTAGATAACGCCGCTTTGCCCTCATGTAATTCTTATTTTATTCAATACTTATGTTCCAAAATAATCTTTGTTTTAAAATCACTACATACTTAAAATGATTTGAGTTGAAACAAATCTGGGCAATAGGAAATATTCATAAATAAACATTTACCCGATCACCAAATTCATTCAAACTCAATCTGATTAGATCAAGTGAAAACATTCGGGTGTGTTTACTAACATAGATATTTTCCGGTTTTCTGTTTCTATTTTCCGTTCTCCGATTTTCTGTTTTTATTTTCCAGTTTTTCTATATGCAATTTTTTGTTTTCATTTTTTAGTTTTCCATTTTCAAATCTGAAAACATGTTCATCAAATTTTTTCACCTAGTTCCAGAAGAATGAAAGTACGGTCCCATTCTGAAATCAAACCAACACAATTCTCCAATTCATTAACGGTCATTTCGCCAATCTGTTAAAGAAAAAAGAGACATATCTCATTTTTCCGTTTTTAAAAACGATTTGGTAAACACAGTTTTTTATTTTCTTTTATCCAGTTTTCCACTAATTTTCTTTGGTAAACAAGTTTTCTGTTTTTCTTTTTCCAATTTTCCAGTTTTCCAGTTTTCTAAAAATATGGAAAATATCTTTGTTAGTAAATAGACCCTCATATTTTTATTTGTTGTTAAAACTGTTTATATAACTCCGCCATGATATCATTTTTTTGGTACCATGTCTGTCCCAAGTCAAGATAAAGGAGGAGGGGGCTGTGGTAGGCGTGTGACGGCCAACAATAACACCTAGTCACATCACATGACATGAATCAAAATATGTATTTCATAGAATCATAACAAGGTGGATGACGTGGAAGAGTGCGTCAAGATTTCTATGCGATCGAGGTATGACGACTAGACTGAAGGATAAATTTTATAGGACAACAATTAGGCCTGCATTACTATATGACGTAGAATGTTGGGCGGTGAAACAATGTCACATTCAAAAGATGAGTGTTGCAGAGATGCGCATACTAGGAAGGACCATGTGCATGCTGCGTTGGATGTGTGGGGAATGAGACAATCAGGTAAATGGTGGGAGTAACACCTATTGAAGACAAGATGCGGGAGTCGCGTCTACGGTGGTTTGGTCATGTGCGTAGAAGACCGAGTGATGCACCTGTCAAACGAGTTGAGATGTGTGGAGAAGAAGTATGGAAGAGAGGGAGAAAAAGACCCAAACAGACGTGAGTTAGGGGAGTTCGAAGTGATATGCTTCTTCTGGGGTTGGATGAGGGCATGACTTTGGAGAGAGCTAAGTGTAGGGCGGGTATTCGTGTGGAAGAGTGATCTCGTATCATCGTTTCCCCTCATCTTTTTTCCTTGTTTTTATCCTTATATATATAAGCATTATGTGTATCCTTTTTATTTTATCATTTTTATGTATATTCATCTCTTTTTATATTATCTTTTTATCAGAGCTTATCTCTTTTTTTTCTTTTTTTCTTTCTTTTCGTTTTGGTGGTGATATCATGTATCGATTCATGTTAACCGACCCCAATATCTTTTGGGACTACGGCTTGGATGTTGTTGTTGTTTGTTGTTGTTAAAACTTTTTATATAGTATTTCTCTGATCTCTTAGAAAGTCACATGAGGTTTGCATGACCATTAATGTCATATTATTGAAATTATACTGGCAAAAATAGAAGGTTTTAAATCAGAGATTTTTAATATTTATATCTAGGAAATAAGTAAGTACAAGAGATTCGTGACCGTCCAATTTTAATGTTACTAAGTGATCTATACATATAGATACACATATATACATATGCATCTACATTTATACTTGATACCAAGGAAAAACTAAACAAATTCGTTTGTTACTTAGGAATACATTACCGTCATCACGAGATTGCTTTGCTTTTTTCTTTTTATTTAAATTAGGGCACTAATTGACAAAAAAGATCTACTCCACTGAAAGAAAATAATCAAGAAAAATATAGATCCCGTTTGGTAATTTCAAAATCGATTGAATCGGTTGATTCTCCTGAAATTTATGAAATTTTAGCTGAATCGGTTGATTCTGCTGATTTATGAGAAAAAATATATTTTTCTTTAGTAAAATAAAGAAAAAATTATATGTAAAAATAGTTAAAATGGTCATCTACAGTAACATCAGCCAATACAGTCAGAAAATTTACTTTTTCTTATTATTACATAATTCAGCGCTTGAAATCAAAAGTTACGTGTTTGGTAAAAAACTGACTAATAAACCTGATAAACCGAAAAACAAAGTTACCAAATGGGCCCATATTTTCCTTAATAAGAAATCAAATTGAACAAGTTGTGGATACCCATCATCTATAGTTACATCTACATTTATAATTTATACTCTTAATTAATACAAAGGGAAAACTGAACATATTTTTTTTGTAAAAACAAAGGCATGTATAGTTATCATAAGAAAGGTACAAATATACCTTTCTAATATAGGTGTGGAAACAAATACACCGATGTTCTATTTTTTACAACAAATATACCCTTTAAGTTTACATTGAAGTGCATATATACCCTTGAATTTTGAAATTGTGCAAAACTATCCCTCATGTTCATATAAAAGGGAAAATTTACCCATATTGACTTTAAATAGATAAAAAATTCAAAAATACAAAAAGTAAATTATAAATTTGAAATTGAAAAATAAAATAAAAATCAAAATCTACTTTTGTCCAATTCTCCCTTTTAGTGTTTTCATATCAAAATTTAATATTGTTAGTATAAAATTTTATTTCAAAACTTTACTATATATTTAAGATTCTTTCGGGAAAATGTTAATTTTTTGTATTCTTTACACCATAAAATTACATATTTTGTATGATGATAAATAGTCCAAGATTACAAAACAGTGAATTCAATTCTATTAAGCTTAAATAAAATCAAAGAATGTTATATCAAAAAAATATAACAACGTGTTTAAAATATCACAAAAATACTAAAATTAATATTTATGAATTCTAAGTGCTTCATTTACAATGGAAAAATAATAATTTTGGAATTTAAAATTAAAGAGTTAATATTTTAACATAAAAATAATATTTATTTTGAAATCTTGAATTTTTTATTTTTCAATTTTAATTTATAATTTATTTTTAGTGTTTTTTAAATTTATTTTATTTATATAAATCAATAAGAGTAAATTTGCTCTTTTATAGAGACATGAGTGATGTTTTTGCACATTTAAGAAGTTGGGTATATATGCCCCTTCACATAAATTTTAGGGGTATATTTGTCCCAAAAATAGAATTTGAATATATTTATTTCCACAACCATATTAGAAGAGTATATTTGTACTTTTTTCTCTAATTATAAAAAAGCAAAATTTAGTACAAGTTGGATTCTAAAAGAAAAAAATTAATAAGGCAGAGCGAGTTGAGTCCCATCAAAGCACAAGAAATGCAATAGGAAATTGCTGTTAGCAAAACAGTGTGCGATCCGTGGCTAAAAAGCTGCAATTCAAATCTTATAACTGAGTTAATAGATACGCACAATATTTGTCACTGCCTTTTGTTCATTGACGAGATGAGTTTTGACAACGAGATGCTCCCGACCATTCACACCCGTTTCTATTTTCCTTTTATCATAATGAATGAATGTGATTAGACTATGCTTATTAATACGCAAAAATTATAAATTAAAAATCAAACATTTGCAAAAGGCGATCAGTAGTCAAACATATGCAATTTTCAAACTAAATTAATTGTTACAAGGAGTAAGAAACTAGTTTAAATACGAGTAAAACGAGTACTTCCTCAACCTCAGTTTAAAGTTGAAAAATGACTGGAGTATTACTGCCTACTAACAAAGTTTTCCCGGAATAGAGATAATTCCCCAAGTAAGACTAAATAATGTTAAAAGTTCAACAATAAGAGTGCAATGTTGTGTTACGTTCTGTAAGATTAAAAAGAGTTAGATAGATAAAATTACACTTGATGCAAATAAAATACTCTGTGATACAAATAAAAGTGACAGCAGTCCTAGACATATGATGCAGCCTCTGACGTAGAACCATAGCCATCTCCAGCACCACTGCTGCCCTCAACCGCCTCCTCCTCTGCCGCTCTGCCGCTCCGCCGCCGCCACCACCGCCGCCTCCACTGGTGATGTCGGCACCGCCTCCTCCACCGACGATGTCGGCTGCCTCCGGCTCCACTGGCGTCATCTTCGCCTCTACCGATGTCACCGTTGCACGCCTCCACCTGCGTCGCCGCCCCTCCATCAGCGTCACTGATGGCTGCCTCCACCGCCGCCGCTGCCGGCCACTTTATCTGTCACATCATCCAGTGATGCTACAGTGATGCTACCGCCCGTCCGCCACCAGATCTGAGATCTGATTTTGTGACTTGATAATACAAGTTCCATCTTTCAGTTGTATTGCCATCTTAATGACACTATTGCCGTCTCGACAGAAATAAAATGCATTTTCAGTTTTGAAAAAATGGCATTAATGTCTTTCATAAGAGTATTATTGCCATCTTTGTATCCTTAGTTCCATAAAAATAGAATTCATTTTCGAAGTGGCATGTGACGTTTGTACTTGGTACGGTGATCCAGGCGCATGTGAAGAGGATATTCTGTCGAGGTGGATGCCTTCGGCTGAAGGGTGCTGGGCCGAAGGCTCTTCTAACCGAGGGCTCCTACCTGCCGAGGGCTGCAGGTGCCGAAGGCTTGGTTTTCAAGCCTTGTTCTCCTGTGATGCCTCTTCTAACCGAGGGCTCCTACCTGCCGAGGACTGCAGGTGCCGAAGGCTTGGTTTTCAAGCCTTGTTCTCCTGTGATGCCTCTTCTAACCGAGGGCTCCTGCCTGCCGAGGGCTGCAGTTGGCGAAGGCTTGGTTTTCAAGCCTCGTTCTCGTGTGATACCTCTTCTAACCGAAGGCTCCTACATGCCGAGGGCTGCAGTTGCCGAAGGCTTGGTTTTCAAGTCTTGTTCTCCTGTGATGTTTCTGAGCTCGATTCCGTCACTGGTAGCCTTCGGCCATGGGGCCGAAGGCACCCCTTTGCGTATTGTGGGCTGCTTAGAGCTCCATTTTTCTGGGCTTGGCCCGTTTGGGCCTGTTGGGCCTGATTGTAGTAGAGGAAGTATGTGGGCTGGGGGTCCCTGAGCCATATACTCCATCAATTTAATTCCTCTTCTTAATCCATCACATATCCTTTCTATTTTTTTGTCATTTAAACACAAACCACGTAGTATCACATTCTATAAGGCCCCCACTTTTTTATGCAGTACTGAAAAACTAAAAACCCATTGAGTAGTAATATTAAAAGGTGACAACTTCGGTACCGTACCTACCATTCATTTGATTGGACCACACCACTTTATCATTTTAATTTAGATTTAAATAATTCAACTGCTACATTCTCATTGATCCATGTGGACAAAAGGTATGATACCTTATGGGTACCATATAATCTACCTAAATTAAAATTAATTAAATCAACCCAACTTGTTAAAATTGATACAATTCTAATTTTGATACAGATCTCCAAAAGAAAATTAAAACAGGTAGAACACGAATGCTCCAACATCACAACCCCGAAGTCTCTCTTCCCACTCTCTCTCTGTTTGGTTTTGCTGGGCTCCGCCGCCTCGTCCTTTTGCATCCACCTATGTGAGTTAGGTGGTTGCTTTAATGACGACTTTATGTGATATTCATTCATAACTAGCTGTTTTCCTCTGTGTGGAACCACAGGTTGCTGTTGAGGCTCCAATTCTATTCTTATCTTTCTATATGTTAGCTTTCTGTTCTTAAAGGGGGAAGAAGAGGGCGTTTGTTTGTATTCTTGTCCTACAAATCTAGAAATTCTTTCTTTTGCTAACTCCTAAAAGTTGGAAACTTTGCTTGGAATTGGTGGTTCTTGAAAGCGTAGCTGTAGAGAGTTGGATACATACTCTTATTCCACTGATTCTTTTCAAGTTTACTTTCTCCCTGCAGCAGGTAAATATTTTTTTCTTTGAATTCTTTCTACTGTGAGTATGTGTTCCTTTGATTCTTTCTCCCTGCATGAAGGTTCTTCTTTTAAACGTGTTCTTGACATGCTATTCCCTTAGCTTCTTTCACCTGACCTTTTGCCTGTGGCTTCTTTGATGGATAAAAGTATAAAACCTTGATTATCTTAATCATAATCATAAAACCTGACCTTCTGAGCATGTCTGTCTTTTAATATTTGAATGGAAAACCTCGTATGAGGGTATGTTTGGATTATGGGAAACACTGGGGAAAGGGAGAGTGTTACAAAAAGGTACTCGTATATTCTTATTAGAAATTGCTCTAAATAGGAGCAAAAACGTTTTGAAATTCCAAAACAAGAGTATCATGTTTTTTATTGTCTGAATAGCAGTAATCTGCCAAGTTTTGAAAAAAATGCCATGTTTTAAAGCCTAAAGTCTAGTAATGCCGATGTTTTAAAGCCTAGTAATGCCAAACTTGGTAAAAATTTACTCCTATTCATTGAATAGGAATAAAAAACATGATAGTCCTATTTTGGAATTTCAAAACTTTTTTACTCCTGTTTAGGGAATTCACCCTTCTTATGAGAAACTTTCTTTTAACAAATATTTAGAATTCTTAGTGTTTATATAACACTAGTAATAGAAATAAATAAAGAAAGTGAATTTGAAGTTAGAAATTAATAAAGGAAGTGATTTTGAAGTAGTATATTTAAAATTGATGTTTTCCTACCATTTTCCCTTTATGTTTTTCTTCATAATTCTTCCCCTAGAAGAATGAGAAGAATTATGGAGAAAACAATGGGCTTATGTGTCTTTAGTTGAGCGTTAAAGTGGGAAACTTTTACCTCGGTATATCACCTATCAGTGCTATGTAAAACAGATTACAGGGGGCTTTGTCATCTGAATAGTCTTGACATTGTTTGATTATTTATTACCATTCAACTGTCCAAGTATAATAAAAAAGTGAATGTTTGTCATTTTTCTGAATATTCTGGCAGTTGGCTATAAGTTGTTGTCAGGATCACTGAATAACGACCCCTTACCTATCTCTATGGGAAGTGATACCACTGAAGCTGCGGATGCACCCCCATCTCCTCAATCCATTAAGGTATTGAATTTATTGAATAATAATAGTTACTCTTCCGTCTTATAAAAGTTTTCACTCTTCCCTGTTTGGTAGCTGTATTGTTGACATGGGCTTATGGGTTTTAACCCCATTATTATTGTTATTATTATTATCAAACACTAACCATATTTGATATCGTTGACTCATTTTAGCTGATATTAGAGAAATTATCAAGAGGCTATTTTTTGGATTAAATAGAGTCAAATGCACTTTTATCCTTAACTTTTAAATATTACTTGTAAGTTATGGATGCATGGCCGAATACTCAGACACACGCACAGCATATTCTGACCACCCGACTATATTAGCTTAAATTTATTATCCCCAAACAGACCCTTAAACTTAATTTATGTGATAGGATGATATTGCCTCTTCACAAACTAAGCACATCTTTCAGCCCATAACCCTTCCCAAAATGGGCCCTGAAGATGGTATGCAAAGAAAATAGTCAAAGACACTTCTTATTCATACGTGTAAGATATTGTTCGAAAAATCATCCCTTATAAATATATTTTTATTGTATAAATGAACACTTTTAGCCGTTCAGTCACACCCTCAGCAGAAGCCAAGCCTGACTACGCTCACCAAACAGATTCTTAAACTTTAATCCACATGGAGTTTTGATTTGTCTTTCTTGAAATCTTTCCGTTTTCGCCCTTCCAAGAAATTGACTAACATCCATCCCTCTTGTTAATATGGAGTACAGGTGCATCTTCAAACGTGCACTGAGCTTATAAAGTTTGTAAGTAGAGCCTCAAAAATACTTCCAGAAATAGAAGCATCCCGACCGCGATGCAGTTCTGGATTAGAGTCGCTTTGCATATTCAACAATGCTATTGTCACAGCCAAGTCGATACTTCAGTACTGCAGTGAATCTAGTAAGCTCTATCTGGTATGTATTCATTTAGCATGTTGCTTAGTTAAGCTATTCAGTTACTTTGTGTATTTCATCTTTTAGCATTGTCAGAATGAGTAATTTTTATTTTATTTTATTTACTTATGAGGTTTTATCCTTTTATTTAAAGAAGATTTACTTTACCCTTGTGTTTTACTCTTTGGATTTTAATTTATCGAGCTGTTATAGAATTTTTTTCTCATTCAAACACTACATTTTTTCCAAAAGGCTCTACTAAACAAGGGAAAAATAGTGTATTTATGAATTAAAAGCACTTTTTTCTTCCCCATGATGGGTAAAACACTTCTTTCAATGTTTTTTTTCCCGTTAAAAACACTCAGTCTTTAAAAACAAGTCATCCCAAATGCACCATTGTTTTGCGACCTTCCATCTCAAGTGGAAACGACATTACAAATTTTCTGTAAGTCTGTAACCATGGAAGATGACACATTTTTTGGCCTTGTGATCAATAAAGTCATTCTTGTGAATCTCGACTTGTGATTGACTGATTGCGCCTTTACTTATGATTCTCCATGTGCGAAACCACATGTTTATAGTTATTACATCTTTTAATAGTCAAATGATATTAATGTTTTCTAACTACCGCATTTGCAGGCTCTAACAGGAGATGCCATCCTCTCAAGATGCAAAAAGTCAACAAAGTTGTTGGAGCAAAGCTTAAGCGAGATGCAATATATGGTTCCCGTTATGCTGGCTGCAGAGGTAAAAGAATGAAAGATTTTTTTATTGTTTTTTTAATAACCAAACTATTTATGGTGTATCCCACACAATGGGAAATGACATGCACATTGAATACATAGTTTTTTAAAAAATGATCTGGATATATCAGTTTTTCTTTCAAATGAAAGCTGACCAAAAAGAAAACATTATTTATAGAGATGAATAACAAATAATTTTTTTACCTAAAATATGTAACCTGAAATACGTAAAATGTTGAAGTATTAGTCCCACATCGGTGAAATACGTAGTATAAAATAATAAATTAACATATAAAATCACGGGGTTTACTGCCTATCGTGTTAACCCTCTTATCCTAGTGCAGTTGTTGTTTGTTTGATATCCATTTTTTGAAGTAGCCTGTTCGGACCCGGTTGGGCATTCATCTCGTATCTCTAAAATATAAATAATAGACTAACATATACTTCGTAAGATCCAGGGCTTTACAGTTAGTCTTTTAGGGCGAAAACCCGAATCTTAATTTAAAAAGGCGTTATATTGGGCTAATCATAACTATTAAAATATGCATGCAGATCTCTCTATTAGTTGCTGATCTAAGAGGAGCAAGATTTAGCTTGGAGCCTTCTGAAGAGGAAGCCGGGAATGTTCTCAAAGATTTACTTCATGAATACATGTATGAATCTGGCCCCACCACAGACAACACACTAAAATCGATCCGAGTTGCAATGTTGATGCTTAACATAACCACCCCGAAAGCTCTTCTCATTGAAAAAAGATCCATCAGATCGCTTCTGGACAAAGTCAATGATTCTGAACAGTCAAAGAAGAAGATTCTCTACTTCTTTCTAAACCTTCTCAACAAATACGCAAAAAGAATTCTTAAAGATAAATCAGACTATGACTCTGTACCAAAACATGAAGATCCTTTACCCACATCAAATGAGGAACCTCCTGATGAATTGAGATGTCCTATATCGTCAAGATTAATGTACGATCCTGTCGTGATTGCTTCTGGAGAGACATATGAGAGGATGTGGATACAAAGATGGTTTGATGAAGGTCATGCCACCTGTCCAAAGACCGGAAAGACATTGTCCCACTTTTCGTTGACCCCCAATAACTCTATGAAGGATTTGATATCAAAATGGTGTGCAAAAAGTGGGGCCGCCTCTTCTAAGCCTAATATGCGGGCCGTGCGACCTGACACGTGGGAAATCTCATCCGTTTCAATAGATAGCTTGGGAAGTTCAATGAATGATCTCAGGCTTCCAAGTGATTTTACCAATTCATCCCTTGGCTCTTCGGATTCCTTGAGTCCTACGAGCCCACCCAAGTATGCCAATGTGATTTCCCCGATTTGTCCCTTGGAGTCATTGTACGGTCTGGAATTGCTTTCCTGGGAATCTCAAAGCATAGTTGTTAAAAATGTTGAGGAAGTTTTGAAACATGAGGATGCTGATCAAGGCTTGAAGAAGACGACGTGTTATGAGAAGTTTGTTGGCCCGTTGATGAGGTTCTTGAACAATGCACACGAGTCACAGGATGGGAAGGCCCAGATCTTGGGATGTCAGTTGCTGTCAACGTTCCTAAAGAAATTCAGGTAGCCTATTTACTCTTTCATTATCTCGCTAGTGATTTTTTTATATAATATGTTACCCCCTTGTCCCATTATGCTAGATGATCTTTCTTTGTTGATTCCAAAAATTTACACTTTTATTACCATTTCACATTTTCACCTTTTACTCTTCGGGAATCCATAGTACATACCACCGTTTCTTCATTTTAGAAGGGTTATAATTGGGAAATAACAACTTTCTCTTTTATTTTTTATGAAAGTCCTAGGATACCGGAACATATTTTTCATTTTGGGACATTTAATTATTGATTTTTTAGATCTCCCTTCATGGTTATAAAACTTCTACGATGCCCAAATGTATCTTTCATTTTGGGACGGCGAGTGTAATAACTACTCCGTAACTATTTTTGAGGTCTCCTTTCATGGCTTTAGTGGTGTGGCATATGCTCCGTTTTAAAAATCCTTATTTAGGCCAGGCTCTCCTTGGCCTCATACGTTCACAAATTTACCCTGCCTAACCCTGCCTAACCCTGTCTGGGGCCGCTTAACTGCTAGGCACCAAAATGTTGCATGCCTACTGTCTAGCACATTTTAGAACATGATTATGATTCACTCCTTAAGTTATTAAGGAATCGTTGAGAAACCAAACTTAAGATACAATGAAACATATAAAAGTTTGAGTTGTTTTTCCTATCATTCTGTTTAACCCCAAATTTGAGGAAGCGGTCCAGCTCAGATAGTCACCGACTCACTCTCCTTTACGAAGTTTTGGGTTTGAAACTCCATGGACGAAGTTTCAGCCCTGTTTGCTCCAGGCTCCCCCTAGCCCCCCTGACCCCGGGTAAAAAAATGTTAAACCCTAAATTTTTATATGGTTTAAGAGCCTGACAGCCTGTTTAACTCAAATGACTAAGTGACTAACTCGATCTCATTAAGACAAAACAAAGAACCCAGATGTCAAAACCATTCGATATGCACCAATGAACCATGATAATCAATCACCTGTAAAACACAAACCAACATATATAAAGACTTGGGTTAATTATAGGGAAATCCCCGAAATAAGAGTAAAAACGTTTGGAAATTCCAAAATAGGAGTATTATGTGTTTTCCCTTAAATAGGAGTACAAAGAGTTACTGTCATTTTTTGGCATTACCGTACTTTAAATATGAAACCCAAAAGTATACTGTGATAAGTGGTAGTATTTTCCAAACTTGACAGTAATTATTCCTATTTAGGGCAATTTCTTTTAATCATGTTGAGTTTGACCACATTTTAGGACGAAGTCTTAAATCTTAATAATATTAAAACAGAAAGAACTCTATCTGATTTAAAAAAAAAGAGAACCGGGATTTATAGACTCATTGAATGGTCCAAGGAGTCTGTCTTAAGTGAAATATAAAAGTAAAAACCAACATATATAATGTCATTGACAACTCCCCGAGTCTTAATAATAGTAAAACAGAAAAAAAGATGAGGGCAAAGTGAAATGATAAATAGAAATATGCTGTCAAATGCCAATTAATCAAAACACCTGCTGTTTTGTCCAGATGTCACTGATCGAAGGCTGTTTCCGGTATACTGAATGATTTTTTCTTTGGTTATTGCAGTAGTAGTGCCACCCGGTGCTTGGATGACAATGCATATGAACTGTTGGTGTCATTTCTTACAACAGAGGCCTCCAGGGAAGCTCTCTCCATCTTAGAAACACTATCCTCTTATAACCACTGCCAGTACAAGATTGCGGCTTCCTGTGCACTTGGCCTCATTGACATGTTAAACTCCGAAAACAGAGATTTATTGGAGACCTCATTTAAAATCATCTACAACTTATCCGGAAACGACAACATCCGCCCGTTATTTGAAATCTCAAAGTTAATCCAGGGACTGGTACCACTCTTCAAAGACACATACTTGGCGAGACAATCTCTTAGCATCTTGAAAAACTTATGCAGCAGTGAAGATGCGAGACTTTATGTTGCCAAAACTGACGGGTGCTTCACTTCTGTTGTGAAGGTGTTAGAGAGTGATGATGCAGAGGACCAAGAACACGCTTTAGCGGTCCTTCTTTCTTTGTGCTCCCAGAGATCTCAATATCGTGAATTGGTTATGTCTGAAGGTGGTATTCCTGATCTGTTCTCTATATCTATCAATGGGAGTACCAAAGGGAAGATGATGGCTTCAGAATTACTAAGGATCTTGAGAGATGAATTCCAAGAGGCTGCTGTAGAGACTACCCCACCCGATATTGATGTCGTTGTATATGGTGCCAATAATTCTATGGAGAGAGGGAGAGAATTGCCAGCCAAGGGGAGGGGTATTCTCGGAAAATTGTTTTACAAAATCAGCCCTGCTATGAAAAGGAAAAAGTAAAAAAGTTGGATCCTTTGTTATTTACACCTACTAACCTATGTCACTTCGTGAAGAAAATAGGTCATTGTGATATCAAGAACCCATTTTCTTCACGAAGTGACTGAATACACTAAGTTGGACATGTGATTAATGATTGGGCGCTACAAATCCCATGGAAAGAAAATAGGTCACTTTGCAAAGAAAACAGGTCATTGTTTCACAAATATCCGTGAGGTGTATTCTTCTCAAAGTGCCATGGTACACTTGGTGGGACCTGGGATTCGGTTCTTGACTAACATTGGTCAGGATTAACATATAAGGATGCAAGGCCGCGTTTGGTGGCTCATGCAATCCTCGCTAACGTATTGTCTGTTGTAGAAAGTCGGATATGATGATAGTACTAATTTAAAGAGTAGGCCGTGTTGGTATTGTTATATATCAATATACAGTTTTGCCTAAGAGGGTTTGGTTTGATTCGTAGAAGATATTCTGGGGTAATAATAGGTTTAGATAAGAATATTGAGTACATTATATTTTTTGTGTATTTGTAGTAGGTGTAAAATCTCTGTAGAGTTTGTTGATTGTATACTTCTGTTTCTTTTCCCTACATATGTTAATTCGTAGGGACTTGATGTAATGAACTATCATGAACACCTAGTATTGTATAAATTTTACATAAAATAAACAATCAAATGTTATAATTGACGCATAATGCTCCACAATACTCCTTTACGCTACTTTAAAAATAACCATTGATTTATAAGGGGTTATATGAGAATGAAGTGGGTGAGTTGAAAGGGATTATTTATAGGGTCATGAATGAGCGTAGGAGATTATTTAATGTGATTGTTTTTGTAGAGTAACTGGGGATCAAATATGGATATTAATCATTTGCAAAAGTAGATGTAATAGATAACTGCAAGTGTAAGACATAAAAAAATACTCCGCAAGAAATTAGATTATTTGGAGATGAATGTGGAATGAGAGTTATCGAGTTAGAGTATCTAAATTGTGGAATGAGAGTTATCGAATTAGAGTATCTAAATTGTGGAATGAGAGTTATTGAGTTATTGTGTAATATGGATAAGTCTCAAATTAGACACTATGGTTTCATCAGAAACTCATACTGGACATTAAGGTTTCAAATGGATCAAATTAGACACTATGGTTTATATTATCTCATATTGGACACTAAAGTTTCATAATTCAATATAAGTGAGTGTCCAATTTGATCTTTATCCAATATAAGTGAATGTCCAAAAACTATGAATTATGAAACTTTAGTTTCCAATATGAGATATATATGAAACCATAGTGTCTATATGTGATAATCATACGTACGGAGCATTAATTGTAGAGAATGTTTTTTACATTTACAAATTACGCAGTATAATGATTCTTTGCTAAATTTGTTAGTCCCAATTTCCAACTGTTCAACGTCTGTTTGGAAAGTGAAAAATATTAGAGAGAGAATATTGAAAGATAGAAATGAGTCATTTTAAAGTACTACTAATAAAAATTTATGGATAACAATGTGATTTAGTAATTTTTAGTAACTATAATTGTGTATAGTTTACATCACATTGACTTGATGTACATTTCTAATCTTTTGATGTAAATTTTGAACACAATTGCGGTTACTAAAAGTTACTAACTCATATTTTTATTTACTACTACCTCCGTTCCTATTATAACTTCCAAATAAGTTTGGCACACAATTTAAGATAATGAGTATTGTGTGGTGGAGAGTTGTACAGAGGAGAGAAAATGTGTAAGAAATGTTGTGAATCACAAATTCTTTAACAAAAAGGAAAAATGAAAGTTTTAATCGGAACAGACGAAAAAGGAAAGTTGGAAGTTATAATAGGAACAGAGGGAGTACTATTTTTTCGTCATCTGTTTGGAGTTATTTCAGAAAATAAACACTAAGCAATTTAAATATATGTAACAAATTAATATACACCCTCCGTGTTATTGAAATGTTTGCAACACTTTTCATTTTGCTATATATTTTAATTTTTAATATATTTTCTGTTCGTGATAAGTTTTCATTATAAAACAAATACTCAATTACACATACTTTTTTACTTTTTATCCTCTCTTTCATACGTTTCTATCATCTACTCCCTCCATCCCTATATAAAAGTATCCATTCGTTTTCCACGCATTTTAAGAAAGTGGGTTTGGTTGGTACCGTTTGGCACTGTTTGGACACTGTTTGGCACTGTTTGGCACTGTTTTGCAATGTTTTACACTGTTTTGTTTGCCAAAAAAGGAAAGAGAACTTTTATTTAGGGACGGCCCGAAAAGGAAACAAATGCTTTTATTTAGGGACGGAGGGAGTATCTTATTTTTCTACTTTATTCATTATCCTTACAACTTTTATCAATATCGTGTTGAACTCTATTGCAGCAAACATTTCAACACTGGGGAAGTATATTTTAACATTTTTTTTTTCTTTTTCTTAATACTTACCGAATCTATATTGCCATATATAGTGCCTGCCATGCACGGTCTAACCTATCCCCAAGAGTTCTTATGATTTTTTTTGGAAGAAGGGGGCTTAGATTGATAACATAACATTCAGATAGGGGTTAAAATAACAAAAGAACCACATGTAGCCCTTCTGCACTTGAACCAGACTCAGAGTTAATCACCTTTGACAAAGCAATATAACTCTCATCACCCAATCTTAATGCAAAAGTCTTACATCACCAAATAAAATAAAAATCAAAAAACAACAATCTCAACGTGAAAATTAAAATGCAAAACAACAATAAAATAAAAGCCAAAGTTTGTCTTATTGAACAAGAGCACCACTCGCATGACCTGCCGCCTCCCCGTTTTTTGTTTTATCCAGAGCCATATTCTCGCCTACTAGGTCCTCCTGTGGCTGTTCCTCCTAGATCCTTCTGCGCTTCTGTTCCACTGGCTCCTCCTCAGCACTGCATATGCCTCCTTCTTTGGTGACACTATTATCTGTACTAGCTGTAGACTCTCTGCCTCCTTATTCCCCAGTACCTTCACCCTCATGACCACCCTTGAACCTGAAGATTTTTCCACTAGCCACTTATTACCCCATGTTGGGCTACTCTTCACCCCTCCACCTGCTCAAAGTTCTACCCCAAAAGAATTTTCCAAAACTATATCCTCCTCATATTTCAAGGGACATAATTTATCAGAAAACCTAATCACCCCGCAAATGAAACAAAAATTAGGGAGTTTTTCATATTTAAAGTCCACCCAATGTCCAATTCCCCCTCTCGTAAGGGTAGAACCCTTTTTCAAAGGTTTCCTTACATCCGTTCTCACCCTGATTCTCAAATAAGACTCCCACATTTCATCAAAATGGCTCTCGTCAAAACTAATAAACTCACCTATATAGTTTCCACCCTTCTAGTAGTACCTATATTCATAAACTTATAGGGAACATTGTGCACTTGCACCAATAACTCAGTTTCACACAAAATCATATTATGGGGAATATCATCTCGTCCAACCACCTTAAGCAATAATAAATTTCTCTCAAATAACCAAGGACCATCTTCAAGAACACGATTCACATCTATAATATGATAAAAAGTAAACAAATACCTTTTATCGTCTATCTCTTTGATAGATACCCCTTTGCTTGGGCGACAAATTGAAGCCAATAGATCCTTGAAAGTCTGAAACTTGATTTTCCGATCCGTAAGAACGATTCCCACCACCGAAAACTCAGCCCCCTTCTCGGATGTATCAAAATCTCCATCTTCCTCATCATCAAAATTCAAATTGCTGTTTTCTTTCCCAATAGCCATCTTTTTATACTGAAAAACGATCTCCTCCATTGTCCTAAGTCGAGCCTCGACGTTGCTGAGCTCTGTAAAAAGTTTCGCAACCTTCGTTAACAAGCAGAACCGATGTTCACTTCCTATTCCTTCGCTGCTGCTGACGTCTTCAGCCAAAACCCGCACCGGACCATACCCTCAACTCAAGCCTTTCTTCGTCCTCAACGAAAATGGAAATATCGTAAGCTACTCTAAGGGATCGAGTGGCAACCCTAGAGAAGATTAATAATATATTGTTTCTTAATTAGTTCTTATGATTAATAATGGCATTCCATTAAAATGCATATTAAAGAAAACCATTCTAACAAATTTACAACTTAATGATTACCATATCCACTAAATAAATACCTACGGAGTAATGAAACAACCATATATATAATAATGTCTTAGCAAGTTTTGTAATCCGACACTTAGGGGTCTGTTTGGGATTTTGTGGAAAGCCGTAATGAAAGAAAATAGGAAAGTAAATTTTAAAAGAGAGAAATTGTTTGAGGAAAGTAAAATCTTCGTTCAAGCTCAAAACATACATTCCTAATATTTCACGGCATTACTTTTTAGATCCCTTTTACTCATTTAGTAATATTGATATTGACTGAATCGCCCGATTGTACTCAAAGCGACACAATCTCTTGAATTATGAATAAATTATTTTTTAAAAATAATTTATTTAATAACTTAAAGATTCTTTTTTGTATAAAAGTTGCTAAATACTTATCTTAAGCAATTTCAGTCAATTCAGTCGAGAAAGTAACTCCAGTCTCACTTATTTGATTATTACACAATTCAGATATTAGTTCACGAAGTGTTGGGTAAAACATGATCCCCCGACCTTTTCTGGGATCATGAACTCAAAGGACTCTTGTACACCCACTCACCCACTCATAACACAAAGACTCAATCTAACAATATCTCTTTGTATTATATAATTGAAATGTACACGAGATGTTTTACAAGTAAACGTGTAGCTCATATCACTCTTTGTATATGAGACTACTTCACTCTCACACCCCTCACTCAAGAGCTCTCCTCAAGGCTCTCTCTCTCATCACTTGAGGAGGCTCTCACAAGGCTCTGTCACAAAGCTCTCTCACATATGAATGAGGAGTCTCACCCCTATTTATACTAATCTCTTCAAAACTTCTCTAGAACTTTCTATGCACTACTACACTTCTAGAGTCTTACAAGAGGTATCCACACATTTTTCTAATCTTCTAGAAGGACCTAGAGAACTCCACACTACTTGAGAATGTTCTAGAGGCTTCCACGCGCTTCCGCACCATTCTAGAGAATTCCACACATCTCTAGAAAACTCCACAATGTTTTAGAACATTCTACACTCTTCTACACACTTGTAGATAATTCCACGCCTCTCTAGAAGGTTCCAGAATATTCTAGAACATTCAATACTTCTTTGCACTCATATAGAGAATTCTAGACTTCTCCACAAATTTCTAGAATTATCATGAACTTCTCAATTAAGGAGGGAACCCAACAAATCTCTCCCTACCAACTTAATTGAGAAGTAGCAGTCAACATCTAATAACAGTCTCACATTTAGCCATCTTTACCTCAAATGTGAGTTGCTCTCCCTCAAACAAAGCTTTCAACACACCATACGAGCAACCACCAAGGAATGGTCATGATCTCCTCCACAGTAAGAGATGATCCAGTAAACTATCTTGTACCGCCGTTATCTACTAACGGGACAAGCCCCTGATTACCTCAATATCAGGAAGACTTTTGATACAAAGCACCAATAGTAGATCAAATCGCAAGACCAAACCCTATACACGATGTTCTCAAGAAGATCTCCTCTCCACCGACACTTGATCTGCAATTCATCTTGTATCACCGTTGTTTATC